TTTACCACAGGATTTCAAACCGACAGTTACCCAATAACTAGAATGCCATCTACTTTTTCAGTATTCCCTTGTGTAACCTATTGCAATTCAAAACAATTTTCCTCTTTTGTTTGTTTCATATGTTATCTAAAACTGGGGCTACCCATGTTACAAATTTCCAAATTCTACTCTACGAAATTCCCATACTTCTACTTCCTCCACTACTGTTTGTAACCTATAGATAAAAAGTACTCAAGGGGCGCCTGGGTGGCAAAGTCAGTTAAGTGTCCGAATTTGGCTCAGATCATGATCTCACAGCTCGTGGGCTTGAGCCCTGCGTTAGGCTCTGTGTTGACAGCTCAGAGCCTGGAGACTGTTTCGGATTCTGTGTCTCCCTTTCATTACCCCTCACCCACTTGCACTCTGTCTCTCTCCGTCTCTCAAAAAAAAAATGAATAAATGGTAAAAAAATAATAATAATAATTAAAGAAAAGTACTCAAGATAGGTTGGGGTAGAAACCCAGCCCTTTAGCTTTCTATCCTGAGGCTATTATCAGCAACACTCTTTTTATTACAACAGAAAAGTACTTCAAAGAAACTAAGTTAAAGATATAAATAAACAAAAGAACATCACCACTTACCATGTTACAGCTCTATTGACTATAACTGGATTTCTTTCCATAAACTCTGTTTGCTATCACATGGTTACATATATTGTTCTTTCAAAAAGGAATAACTCTCCTAATTTACCAAATTTATTTTAATACAATGACAAGTCCTATGACATACATTAGGCTTGATGCTTTTCTATAATTGAGTCTGTGCTGTCCCATACTCTAACCACCAGGCATATATGGCTCTTTAAATTAAATTTTAAATTAATTAAAATTAAGTAAAATTAAAAACTCAGTTCTTCAATCACACTATGAATATTTCATGTGTTCAGTGCCCATTCATATGTGTCTGGAGGGCTGCCATATAGATTACTGTTACAGAACATTTTCTTCAGTACAAGAAGTGCTATATGGCAGTACTTGACCAGCTCCTTTCCATTTGGTCCATGATGGCTTCACCTTAAAAATGAATAAAAAAATAACTGTGACCAAAAAAATCATTCAGAGTAACATAAAGTTCAGATCTGGGAAGAACAAGAAAAACTAAAAGTTTGGCCCAGATTTCTGCCTTCTTCTAGATGAGATCATGTTATGGATATCTCCAAGGTGAAACAATGTGGGCCCATAAATACCAAGTGACTGGTTTAAATTTGTACTGAAAGGGCGTCAGACAGGAAACTTTAACTTGGATCCCTTTTTCTTACTGCAATGTTGTTTTTTAAATTTCACATTGATCCTTCTCCATTCATCATGCACCCTTAAAAGACAAAACCCGACAGGCTTCAATTTTATTGACTGTGATGATAATTCCTTGTAAAATTTAAAGCCAGTAAGAACCTGTCTATGAAAACACATTCACAATTAAGGCCATAAACAAAAATACCACCTTGTTATCATATATCATCCATAAAAAATAAATGCTAAAAGTAGCATGTGTCTATGTTCTACACACAAGCAGCATATACCTTATGTATATCACTTCACTAACACACATTTCAATAACATACATAACATAAATTAGCATTATTATGCCAATTTCATACATGAGGAAATGGCAACTTAAAGAGGTCAGGTAGCATCGTGCCTAAATCCCCCACACTAGAAAGAAACAGGTGTCCTAAAATTTAAATCCAGGTGTGTTTGACTGTAAAAACTCATTTCCCCTTGCAGAGCACTTCATAGATAATCCTCTGTGAAAAGTGAGCTGTGGTAAATATTCTCTAAGTTTTCATCATCTCTAACATTACATAAGATTGTGTGTGTGTGTGTGTGTGTGTGTGTGTGTGTGTGTGTGTGTGAGAACAACGTTGTTTATACTGTTCATATGTCTTCTCCAATTTCCATTCTGATTCACTTATTCCAGGGCAATTAACTCATATGATAAAGATAACAGAAGAGGAGGTTAGGGTAAGATGTATAAGAATGAGAATTTATCAATTTATTAAGCATAGATTTATCAAATATAGAGCGCAAACAGCTCCTCCTTGCTGTCTCTGCTCCAACCTGCTCTCCCTTTCTCTCTGTTTTCCTCCATCTCTCTTTCTCATACTCCTAATGAAGTTCAGTTTTTCAAGTGTGGGTAGTATTTACATCCAACAGGAGAGATGTGTCTTAGGATTAGGAGTGTGGATGTAATACTCATTTTTTCGTTGCAAAACAAAACAATTGAAACAAATTTATTGAGTGTTTCTGGTGCTACAGAAATCGTGCCAGGTTTTAGCTACACAAAGATAAATCCAGCAGCATCTGTGGTGCGAAGGGCATTTCCAGTATGTAAGATAAGTGATGAATATAAACAATCCCAAACCAAATGATAACAACATGGTAAAAACCCTTGAAATAAAAGGCTTTCTGGGACAAGTGTCTGTTGAGAGATTACAATCGCAATATGGATCATCATGCTGTTTATTCAAATAAATATTCATTCTACTGAAAAGGTTGTGGTAGCAACAGGAATAAAATGAGAGTTCATTTCTAGTATGTGCCTCATTCTCTCTTGCCTCATCCTTGGTAAATGGAGGGGTGGCTACATAGAATGGCAGTGCTTTTTCACTTTGCCATATGTTTCTTACGTGTACTACCTAATGATGAGTTTCCTTTTAGAACATGAATGATTTGACTCCTACCTCATCTTATCTTGAAACACATAATGAAATAGATACATATGTTAGCAAATGTCCAAACATATTGAGCAAGCCCATCATTATTCACAGAATGAAAATGTTAACATCACGTTATGGAAATATGAAGAACGTTGCATATTAATGAAATTCTTTTATATTAAATGTTCGCAGGCTGAAAGCTTGTCTCTAGCTTAATTGATTCAAGCAATGAGTGGGGCATAAGATTTAGAGAAACGTGCCCATCAATATCCTTATTTCTAGACCAGTGGTAACCCTAGCATGTTGGTACTGTTTTCCAGATGACCACCAAAATACTACATTCCTCTGGAGCTATTTTTCATAATGCTGTATCTTTCAATTGATCAAATGCCGAGAGACTTGATGCTTTCAAACCATGTGGGAGCCATACATTGGCAGGGAGGGATAGAGACCTTTTAGCAGCTGATTAGCAGACCTTGTTATAGGCTTGCACAATTCATGCTCATAGAAAGAGTCAAGAGCTAACACCACTGCCGAACGCTTTATTTCTGTGTTTTACCTATTAGATTTTCATAAGCCCATATTACAACCAAATTTGAACACCAAATACACAATATTAAATATTAATTTGAAAGAACTTGAAAGAAATCATATTACACCTTCTAGTACATTTCATTTAAAATGCTAAAAAGCCAATCGTTTTCCTTATATATTGTGTTCACCTTCTTGGAAACAGGACCATGCAAGCTGATTTTCATTTTTATTAAGTGAGTGCCTATAATTGTGGGATTCTCAGAAGTCAGAAAATAAAACCCACATACCGTTGGAAATGGACAAATTCTTATTACTCAATAATTTATTTTCCAGAGGCTTGCTAATCATTTCATCCAACAACCAATTGAATCTATTTAAATATAATCTTCCTTTGCCATATTTCATGGATTTGAAAACTAGTTCTCAATAATTGTCTAAGAAAGAAAAATCATTGAAAATCAGTTAAAGTCATAGTTAAAATTTTTTTTAAAATGGGTGGTGGGGACACTGAGCAAGCACTGTCATTCCATTTTATTACTTATTTATTTTTCTTTACCTCAATACTTTGGTTTGACAATAGGCTTTATTGTATTTTTCCAGAAATCCTTGGGAGATGCAATTATATAGATTTTATTTCATTATTGCCTCCTTCCTTCCTTCCTTCCTTCCTTCCTTCCTTCCTTCCTTCCTTCCTTCCTTCCTTTCAAGACTGTTGGAGAAGTAACAAAAATCACTGTCTCAGTTCAGAGTAAGGAAGTGATAAGACTATGCATCAAAATCCATACACAGCAGATCCAGGTGGGAGTATTCATTTGCTGTCTCCAAGTAGCCTGGTCACACAGAGTATAATCATTTTAGTCATTTCATTCAAAACCCTCAAAGCTTGGCCCACAGACACCGCTTCTTACCACTCAAAATCCCTTCCCTCTTCCCTTTCAGCTCTCCAACTCACCTGTCATCCAGCAACAACTTGTGTGCTCAAATATTCAGACTTGGTGAACTAACAGAGTACCTTTATAGTCACTTGAAAAAATCATGCCATGGGGCACCTGGGTGGCTCAGTCAGCTCAGGTCATGATCTCACAGTCCGTGGGTTCGAGTCTTGCATCAGGCTCTGTGCTGACAGCTCAGAACTTGATGCCTGCTTTAAATTCTGTGTCTCACTCCCTCTCTGTCCCTCTCCCACTCGCTCTCTGTCTCTGTCTCTCAAAATAAAATAAAGACATAAAAAAATTTAAAAAAAGAAAAAATCATGCCATTAGGTTAATGACCCTTGGAAATTTAAATGACTTGATTGCCTTAATCTTTGGATTTACTTGGTAGTGAAGATCGCTCTCTATTAGTTAATGCATTTATTTGACCACAGTGTGGACACTCCCCATTCCCCCCTCCCCTCTCCCCTCAATTTTACATTGAGCCAACATATTCACTGTGTGCCCAGGGGCTCCTTCAGATGGCAGACTCTAAGAAGCTTCCGTTTGGATTCTTGTCGGAGCTAAGGACTCTTCTCGGAGTCTGCCATGATGACTAACACCATGTCTGTCAGACTGGCCATACATGGACCCCAACCAGGGCTACCATTCACTAGCTGGGCAAACTTGGGCACGTAACTTAATGTCATTTGTAAAATGGAGATACTGTCCTATCGCCATCGCTGTGAGCAATGGGGATAAGGTATTTGGCACAGAATAAACGCTCAATATAGTGTTTTTTTGTTTTTTGGGGTTTTTTTTGTTTGTTTTTTTATTTCAATCACTTTATTTGAAAATCCTTAGTGATTTAACATCATGGTTCTCTTCTTGTACAGGTAGTTGATGAAGCCTAGGGTTGCCACAAGGCCTGCTAAGGCAGCCACAGCCACCACAGTCTTAAAAGCAATGTATCCGGCAGCCCCGTACCCTTTTGAGTCCACAACATCTCTGAGTGAAGAGCTATCTGATAGCAGGAGGATGGGTCCTGGAAAACTTACGATCATTTTCTCTTCTTTAGTGGTGTCTGTGGCTCTCTTGTGTCTGGATGACTCAGAGCAAGTCACAGAACACAGAGGGGAGTCAGGAAAGAGTTGATTGCAGATTAAGGCACTGCAGTGGAAGTAGACCAGGCTAGAAAGCACTTGGGCCTCTGATACAAAGGCAAAGGTCTTCACGTCAAACCTCTGATAGTGAGTAGGATAGGTGATGGACGAGCCAACTGGATGGAAGGTGGTTTTGTGGTTATCCAGGTTGTTTTCGCAGCCATCCATGATAATGTTCCACTGGGGGAGGGAGGTTGAAAAGAAAACAGAATTTATGCCAGTGTATAATGTTGGCAAAGAGATCTATCAGACTTTAAATAATGGAAATGATTTATTCATGTTAGTTTATTTAACTTCAACAGATATTTATTAATTATCTTCATCAAAATATTAAGTTTCTACCAATTAAGTAAATACTAATCAATGAATATAACAATGATAAGTCCATCCCAGACTAAAGAAGAAAATAATGGTAAGAAGCTCCTTGGTGCATTATAGTCTTAATTCATAGTTTGATTTTAGCCTGAAAAACCACAGCTCTATTTATTATAACCCCTACACTAAATGATATTGTTTTTTAAGCGAGGATATTCAAATTCACATAGGTGAAATAAATTCACATTGGAAATCTTTTAGTCATTATGAAATTTTGGGTTACAAAGGGATATTTACAACTCTCTAGTCCTTGCTTTTCCCATTAGGGTGACTTTGGTTCAAGTTCTCCTTGTATTTGCAAAACTCTCTGAACTTATATCTGTCATTTGAACTTTTCCCCATACATCCCTCTTTCATTGCAACACATTGCAACAGAATGGGCAACCTAAACTCTGGTTAATTTTATAACCCTGCTTTAAATTTCTCTGTTGCCCATAACAAAGCCCAAACTCCTGAGTCTGTTACATGAGGCCATTAATAATCTGGTTTCTTCTCTGTCTCAGTTTTTACTATTTACTATCTGAACAGTTAGTTTCCTACATACACAAACATACACATGTACACATATGTACACACACACACACACGCACGCACACAGGATGGATGTAGCAGCTCTTTGACAACTATTAACACCAAACTAATGGAGCTGACTATTTCAATAGGAGCTATGTGAGCCAGCACAGTAGCCAGAGGCCTGCAGGTGACAAACATGTTTTCTGGTTTACTTTCTATGAATTTTTGGTAACTGGGACTGACCTCTTGGCTGATAAAGCTGCCTGGAGGGTTTTTTGATTTGTCTTATTTTTGTTTTATTTTAATATATCATAGGGAATGAAATATTGGAATCTAAGTAGTAGAAAAGGCCATTAGAGAATTAATCTCATAGGGATAATAAAGATACGTGGCCTTAATTTGTACTTCAATTTGGTGAAGCTGTAAGAAGAAATGATTTCCCCCCCACATCTTTGTAAGGATTTCTCAGCTAAATAAAGCATGTTAACATGTGATGGCTTTCCAAAATCTTCCTAAAGATAGTGAGACCACCCCTCTTCTCTCATTTATCTCATCAGCCTCTTTTAATTACTTCATAATTAGACAAATATAATTGAAAAAGAGTTAATTTGGTAAGGATTTATTTATGTACACAGATGATCATTTAAGGATTATGTAGGGAACAGAATGCTGATTAGTTGATTTATATAAAAATATGTGGGGGGGATTTTAACTGCTTTGCAGAATATAGTCTAAAAACTCAAATGTTATTGATCAGCTGTATATTCTAATGCTGGCTATAAAAAAGGACAACTGAAATAAGGCAGTCTCCATATGTTAGGTCTAAGACTTAAATTATTCTTGAGTGTGTAAAATAATCAATTACTTTTTTCCTTTTAAAAGTCAACTTATTTCCTTTAGTGCCAGGAAAGCTAACATAAACCAAGATATAGTTATGTCAAGCAATATTGCCAAAAGAAGCAAGCAAAATCTTAGGAATGAACACCTTGAAATTTCTATTTTAAGATTCCTAATTAAGCATTCAGATTTAGCAATGTATTTTCTTGAGTTTTCATATAAAACATTATTTTAGAGACATTCTTTGGAATTCATCTCAGCATATGTTCATCTTTTCATTATTTCTATATTTATTTCTTCTCATTATTTATATATTTATTTATCTTGCACCCTAGCTGTTTTCTATTCTTGCTTTAAACCTCTCATTTCATCCTGCACAATCCCGGCCATCCAGCAGTAAAATGGGGGCTCTTCTTGATTCACAAGGAGTAATTTCCATGCTAGTTATTTTCCAATGTAATGTAGAGATGGGAAGAATTCACATCAGGACATATTTGCAAAACAATTTCCAAACTAATAAATCTCATGAATTTATCACTTTAATACATGTGATAAAGCTATATATGAGAAATTAATTTTTAAAAGAATGATACCTCGGGGCACCTTGGTGGCTCAGTTCGTTAAAGCCTCTGACTTCAGCTCAGGTCATGATCTCACAGTTTTCTAGTTTGAGCCTGGCATGGGCTCTGTGCTGACAGCTCAGAGCCTGGAGCCTGCTTCAGATTCTCTGTTTCCCTCTTTCTCTGCCCCTCCCCTGCTCGTGCTCGCTCTCTCTCTCTCTCTCTTTCTCTCTCTCAAGAATAAATAAACATTAAAAATTTTAAAAAGTAATGGAAAAATACCTTTACTTTTTAAAAAATGTTTTATTTATATTTGAGAGAGAGAGAGTGAGCAGGGGAGGGTCAGAGAGAGAGAGGGAGATACAGAATCTGACAACAGGCTCCAGGCTCTGAGCTAGCTGTCAGTACAGAGCCCGACCATAAACCCTGAGATCATGATCTGAGCCGAAGTTGGTCACTTAACCTGAGACACCCAGGAGCCCCGGAATGATACCTTTTCTAAATTGGTTGGGTAACTTGTGGGGCAGCTCTGTAAGTTCTGATTCATAACCTTGAAAAGATTTGGAAAACTTTCCTCTGCAAGAGATATTAGCCTCACCTGTAGCAAGAGAGAAAATGTCCATCTTGCCTAATTCCAAAACCTGATTTGAGGATAAGAGAACTTTATCCAGATTAAGAAAAAGGGTCTTCAATTCTTGTTATTTCATTAGGGCAAATTGGAGTAGTTTGACTTTATGATTAAAACCAAAACTCTTCAAAAGTATTGTGGTTGTAGGTTTCCAGGTTTCTCATTTGGCAATGAGAATCCAAAAAAAGGCAAGAAAGGTATTCACCAAAAGTCTTATAATATCTTCTGACCTTTTGAAATCATCTTTTTCCCCCCTGAAAGAGGATATTAATTTTACAATGTGTATGTGTATGTGTGTGTGTGCGCGTGCACACGCAAGTGTGTGTGTGTGTGTCTGTGTGTGTGTGTTAGTTTTAAGGACAAGATAATATTTATGATCCATTTAGACATTCACATGTATGGGATAAAAGTTGGAAGGGTGAGTAGGTTGTCCTAAGAGAAGGAAGGAGAATTACAGCCACCAAAAAACCATTTTCTATCCATTCCTATTTCCCAGCTCCTTATGCCAAGCATTTTGAGAATCAGGAACACAGAGTTTGTTTTTTTTCTTTTGGAAAACCCATATGGATCCCAGAAGGGAAGATATGAATTTAAAAAAGCTCATATGCAAGATGCAAGTAGTGATGTTTCTATACTACCCCACCACTTGAGTGGTTATACAGACATTGCGACTTAAAATCTCTTTTCAGACAGTCCAGTGAAATAATGCCCCCTTCCATTTCATCAATTATTCTAATACCAATTGGTAGCATTAGCAGTTGCTTGTATAGTGTAAATTTAGACTTCCTACATAAAATGGATATGTAAACATTTTTACTTAGTAGAAACCTAGGTGCCTTAATCAAGAGATTAAAACAGTGTTTCTGTTATATGTATTTTTTGCTTCTTCTGAGTATTTCTGTTTTTATCTTGGAAAGCCAAGTTTGTAGTCCTTTATTACTACAAAGAACCTTACAGCTAACTAAGAAAAGGCTTAAATTTTGTGAGAAATCTTAACTTGCATTCAACTCTAGAAAACACTTTGTGCACTTATCTTGGTGAAAGACACAAGAAAATGGAAGACACATCAAGGATTATGCAAGCTCTTTGATCCAATAAATATGTAACAATTTTTTTCTTTTTAAAATATATTTTTAAAATATTTATTTCACCCATCAAGATACAATTTAAATAAAAAATATTGGAATTTAAAACCTACTTAATCTTTAAAAACTGCAAAAGTTTTTAAAAAATTTAAAAAAAACTGCTCTAGAAGGAAATATTGTTTTTTTTTTAAAGTATAATTTATAACTTGTAGCTTTTGGTTAAAATATTTAATCAGTGTCCCAGTGTTGAATTTTTAACAAGGAAACTAGAAAAAAAAAACGGAAACAGAATGCTATTTAGAATAGGGGAGTCATGATATTTAAAATATTTTAAATGCTTTTATTATTATTATTTATTTTTAAAAATTCATTTATTTATTTTGAGAGAGAGAGAAAGAGGCAGAGAAAGGGAGAAAGAGAATCCAAAGCAGGCCCCATGCTCAGTAGGTAGCCCAATGAGGGGCTCAATCTCATGAACCATGAGATCATAACCTGAGCAGAAAGCAAAGAGTAGGATGCTTAACCAATTGGGACACCCAGGATCCCATAAATACATGTAAAATCTCAAGTGGAGGGACGCCTGAGTGGCTCAGTCGGTTAAGTGCTCAACTCTATTTTGGCTCAGGTCATGATCTCATGTTTGGTGTGTCTGAGCCACAAATCAGGCTCTGCACTGTCAGTACAGGGTCTACTTGGGATTTTCTCTCTCTCTCTCTCTCTCTCTCTGCCCCTCTTGCATTCCCTACGAATATGGAAAAAGAGAAGAAAATTATTCAAAAAGGAGAAAAAAATGTTATGAAAATATTGCTATACAAAAAAAGTGTTAATAACAATAAAATACCATGTTTCATTATCAAACATTTAGCAAACTTTTAAAAAGTTAATAACCTTAAGTGACAAGGAAAGTTACTATTACATACTTCTGGTAGTGATATAAATTTTATGGAACTATCTGGAAAGTAATTTGATGTAGTCACTAAAAGCTTAGAAAGAGTTTCATGCCCTTTAAATCAGTCATAGTATTTATAGGAATCTGTATTAAAGAAATGGCTAGACATATGAATAAAGATTTATGTAAGAATATATTCTTAATAAAACTATAATTGTAAAATTTTAGAAATATAATAAATATTCAATAATGGATAATGACTAATAAATTATTGTGCACCCATATGATGTATG